ACATAAATATTATGAGATACTTAAAGTCACAATTTCAAAAATTACATTTTATATTCATAAATTCCCTTTATGTTTAAACTTTGGCACATAAAAAGGAGAACGACAATAGTCTAGTCACATGAAAAATGATTTTAACATTAAAAATCATAATATATATTGACACTGGCAAATTTGTACTTGTATAAAAAATAAGTAAGCCGGGCGAGGATCGAACTCGCGACCTTTCGCTTACGAAGCGAACGCACTACCACTATGCTACGGAGGCCTCTTAATTTGTTTATAGTATGTGAAGTTGATATTATGGATATGCTCGGTAGATTGACTATGCCATTGCAATTGTCCCACTTCGAAAATATCGTAGTTATAGAGACTTTTTTATTTTAGAAGAGTAAAAGAAATACAAAATTTATATTGATATACCAATGATCTAGATAAATCCAATTTAAAAATTGGATTAACAAAACATAGAATGCAACAATTACGAAGAAACTTAGAAAAATAAATTTAGAAAAATCCAAACTAAAATTGGACTAAACAGAAGATCAGTTATGTTGTAATCTTGCGGAATTTTCAAGACAGAATATAGGAATCATCTTTCATAGATATAATGTTGATGATCTTGACGGTATTTGATATGTCCTGAATATAGTATGGCAGAATGAAATACAAATTTGTTTCTTCTGTGAAGGAACGGTTATGGTTGATCATGTCGTTAAAGCGACGAAATCTTCTTCGTCGAAAAATTATATATATATATATATATCAGAATTGTGTAGAAATCGTGATCCAAGTAATTATGTTAAGCTTCATATATCAACTTGTTAATTCTACAATACATTTCTAACTCAAACTAATTTACTTTATGATTGATAATCGATCATATATATAAAGAAACTTCCGATCTCATGAGAGTTCAATGTGGGACTCTGACATTGATCAACATTAAACAAGTAGAATATTTCATGCATTATTCTGATTTCTCTTTCAATAAATGTAGACCTTAATTCTGAAATCAAGTTCAATTATTTTCTTTAATCACAACGTGATGCTTAATTAGCATCCCCTCTCTTAATTGACAATGCATAAAATCGTATCAGATGAAATTGATGTAGTATTTCTTGAGTCAAGGATCTATCGGAAATAGTTTTTCTGTCTCTAAGTAAGGGAAAGGTCTACGTGCAATCTATCCTTACCACATTTCATTTTTTTAAAATTATATTGAATATGTTATTAATGTTATAGAAAGCAAAAATAAACAAACTAAACTTTCTCATTCTTTGCGGGCACGAATTTACCGTCTAAATTATGATGCACATGATCCTTATTCCTTGGTCTATGTGCAAACCTAAATATTTTGCGTATATATTTTCCTGAATTGGTCTAATGTTATTTGTTGGTCCCATTGCTCCAAAAGCCGTAATGATATTAAATGCTGAATTATTTACCAATAAAAGTAGAGATCAATTTTCATTTATTTTGCGGAATTTTGTTTATCCACTGACAATGGCTTATCTATGGTTGTAGCTAACAGTAGGGGGCAAGTAGGTACCTACCTAACACAATAACTTGTTTTTTCCATTTCATGATGCAGCCATAGGATTAAAATTACATTGATTTACAAGTTAAAACTATAATTAGCTAAAAAGGGTGCAATTGTTTATAAATAAATAAGACCTTAAAGGAAAAATGCGCACTATAATAACTTTTTCTATTTTTAGAATTCGAATTTAAGATCTTTGATTAAAATGGAAGGAATTTTATCCATCTCACCAGAATTCGTGGTTATAGATTTCAACTGTTTAGTGGGAAGCTAGTTCACATGTTGGAATTATAAATACATCGGCTAGAAGGTTAGTTGATAATTATGCGTTGCCTAGCTTCTCCTTTTATACCAGTAGTAGTATTACTCTTGTAGTTCTTGTCCTTCAATTTTTGTTATTATCTGTTGTTTCTTGTACTTCGATTAATTTACTATTTTGTTGTAGCAACTGTGTATTTTTTTACAGATTTTATCTTCTTATCTATATTTACCACATGGTTTAATATGCTTCTTCTTGCTGAAGTTTCTATCAATTACTCATGGACATAGTTGCTGATAAATATGATGATGAATGCTTTAGATACACCGGGATGAATTTGAATGTATACACTTCAAAAAATAGTAATTGTTCTTCTTAGTTAATATACTAAGTTACAATTATATATATAATAAATGAATATTATTGTCTGTTAAAAAATTATAATGTGTTTTAATTGTCTATCAAATACGCAATTTGAGCTTGCATACACATACTGTATACATAACAATCTATTGAAGTTGAACATGTTGGAACAAGCTGATTTCATACATATGATGTATACATCAGATTCAAATAACAGAAAAATCTTGTATACCAACCTAAAATTAATTAGCAGATATATACAAGGCGTATATGCAAAATCCAACAACAAGAAACAATAAACTTGCACGTGTTCACATATTTCAACTGCAGTTAAATATCAATCAACAGATATATATAGGACGTGTATATATACATATTTTTCTAATTTTAATTGATAATAATAAATAATTATATTTTAAAAATTACAAATAGGTATGATATATGGAGAAAAAGGTTGTACTCTTAAGAGATAAAATATTGACACTACACAGCCAATTAACAACCCTCAACAAATTAGTATGTGTATACTTAATTAAATTGGTATGTATACAAATGTAAAAAATTATTAAGATGCATTAAAACTCAATAAATCAGTATATGTACAAATATCCATATTTTTGTGATACTAAGTGACAATGATAAATAATTAATCATGGTATTCTCTTTTAAAAATAATCAATTGGTACAACGAAAGTGTTTAAAATTTGATAGAGATTTAAGTTCTTAGTTTGCATATGTTTATACATAAATTATTTTGGCGATCAATAATTATATAAAATATGTTTA